TTGTAGTTTTGCATCTACTCAAGTTATCTATTATTGTCACTAATGGTTTGATGATGTAAACAATTTCATGACCAATAAAAAAAAGAAAGTGAATAAATCTGAATGGGTCAATAAATTATCACAACACCTGTGAGACTATGAACTCTTCACAATAAATCGATTCACAACATTTGTTCATATAGGCTTGTGCCTCAAGGTCTCTTTTCCACAAGAGACCTGTTTTTAAAACCTTAAAATGTAAAATACAATTCCTAAAAAAGGAAAATCAGTTAAATATTAAAGAATATTAGACTCAAACTAACAATTTGACAGATTAAATCATAGAAGCAGGGGATTTAAAACCAAATCAGTATGTTCCCTCAGCATGGCAAAATAAAATCCACAGCCAGGGTATTAACAGATAATCTTATAATCTATAACGCAGGTACAGGTTTTAAATGACTTTCTTCAATTTTGAGGAGTTATTTTGTGCAATGTTGGTGCTTTATATTTACATTTTCCTTTATTGGACATTGTTAAAACTTTGTACCTGTATTTTTTGTAACACAATTGATTTGGTCATGTGTATAATTTTACAAAAACAAATGTAAATCTCCAAGTTTTTTTACCTCCCTAAATACGTATGTGATCCTTACAGTATATTCTTTCACGACAGTGATGGGAGTGTCTGATGTTCAAAATGGGATACTTAACATAAACATGAATCATTTAATGAGTTATGAATAAACTGACTGCTGAACAGTTGTTCATCTCCTAAAGTCGAAATGGAAATTAAATTGTATATATGTTTGGAACAAAAAAATATTAAATATCTTTACCCTTTTAGTGTACAAATAAAAATGTACAGTTTACTAGCAGCTAGTGATTTTCAAATATATATTTTGAAAGATGAGGAGGCTCCAGATCTCCAGCACTCTTTGAGCGAAAGCTGGGGTACATCCTGGAGTAGTTGCCAGTCAATCACAGCGCAACCCAAAGACATACAACTTTGCATACACACACTCACACCTGAGGGGTTAATGTAGAGTCTCCAGTTGTCCTAACAGTCATGTTGTTGGACTGTGCGAAGAAACTGAAGCACCCAGAGAGATCCCATGTATGCACAGGAGAACTTGCATACTCCATGCAGAAAAACCATAGGTGGTTAATTAAAGTTTGCACAGTCTGCTGCAAGGCAGGAAACTGTGTTGCAGCCCAACCAGTGCTATACAGTGAATGGCTACTATTTCTAAAAAGAAGCACAGTGGTGACTCTGCTTTGCTTTTGGGTTAAAGCATTTAAACTTAGTAACACTACTGCAGTCTGTGTTCTTACAACATAAAATTTGCATAAGTGGTATTAGACTACTATTGTTTAAACCAATAATATTTGAATATGACTTTCACTGTGTATATGTAAAAAAAAAACTGGATATGTGAATGCATTCAAATATATATATATGTGCACACATGCACGTGCTTATGCAACTATTTCAGTGTCTGCAAATGTATTCATTTATACCTCAGAGAACTAGATATGCAATACATTCTTAAAACTTTAAAAAAAATCTTATGGGAAGTTGTACACCGATGCTAAGGAGTCTAATCACAGCTTTATTACATGTAAGCTGTATCTCAAAGCTCATTATGTTTCTTACAAAATGTTTTCTTTAGAAAAGTCATGTTTAATTGACTAAACTTTCATTTAAAGATGTTTAGTAAATTATTAAATCTCTATACTATTAAATTATCTAGTTGGAAATTAGATCAAATCTTTATTTCATTTTACTTGTGTTGTTAGTGGAGCATTCTTAAGGCAAAAATTGTTTAAAATGATTTTCCACTCACTAATTTTTTTCAACACAAATTTCCATGAATGTTTAATCCTGTTTTAAAGCAGCATCCAGAAAGATGATATTGGGACCCTCTGTTAAAATAAATCTATTTCAGTAAAAAAAAAAAAAAAAAAAAAAAAATGATTTAATCTAAAAGTCTCTTTCCAGCGGAAAATGAAACACAAACGACAGGCATGCTGGGTCCTTGGGCTGCTTTTGCATCAATGTATGTACATTTTAAGTGCTTGTGCATCAGCATTTCATTTTGCATCTGTGCTAATGGAGCATGCAACGCGACTGTGTGTTTTCTCCAAGTCCTTGGCTCTTTTTGGTCCTCAGCCAAAGCTGGAGCTGTGTAACAGGAGATACGACTCGTCAGTCACAGAGACAGAAGGAAATGGAGCTTGGCTCGTCGGAGGGGGCTCCTTACAACTGTATTTCTATCAATTTGGCAGGGGGCTCGCTTGGCCACATTGAACCCCTGTTTCTGTTCATCAGCGAAGTGTTGCGTCTGCCGACAGAGAGCTGCCATTTGTTCACAAAGCTCTCCCTACAGTAATAAACAACAGCAAAAAAAAAAGAGAGGCCGCGTTTTTAATTGCACAGTAATTTATAGCCTGACTTGCTAATTAAATTGCATCTCCAACTGGTCTGCCATAACTGCACAGAATCTGTGTTTGAAACTCAAGATTTTGCTGCAAGTAAAAACAGGCAGGGGAGCAAAAGGGGGAGATGAGATAAAGCCAAGAAGAGTTTTAAGGAAAAGACAAATGGTATCTGGGACAGAAGGTCATATGAAAAAGAGATTATAATTAAATGAAAGGAAGAGAGGAAAAAACATGCCAAGACACATAACATCACCAGAAACACAAGCTAAATGTGATTCACAAGCACATCTGAGAATTACTGAAAGAAATGAATAAAGAACAAATATCATAATCTGTCAAGAAGAGACTTTTATCTTTGCAATCATCATTTATTCTCAGATTTAATCATGTTCCCATATTACAATGAAATGCTTTAGTATTGAAAGACAAAAATGTAAATAATAAAATCACTCAGATATTTTATTAACTTAAGGCATTGTTCTCTTTAAGAAATGCTATATTAAAAGATTCATATCAAAAACATGCAAGCCCTCCATTGTCAAATATAGGGTTATACATCATGAAATATTGGAGATATTAGGTGTTTTCTAGTACTGTTTTCCAACCTGGAAGGCACTTGCATCACAGCGATGCCACCTTTCCTGCTCTGAGTAATGCCCATTTCATGATGTCATCCTTCAGCGACCAGTGATTGGTATCACACCAGTTTTGGCGACTGAGTCCATTTTTAGGAAGGCTGGACAAAGTGTGAGACCTTTCCTAGCCTAGGCATTAGCTAGGAATGAAGCAGCTGCTGTCACTGGGCAGATTGGCAACCAGCGGCATATCTACATACATAGAATGACAAGGAAAGTAGCTGTTGAAAAATAGCTATGTGATACGTTCTTACTGTTTTTACAAGTTATATATGTGATATAAGAAACTTGCCTTATCACATACTGTGAAACAAGGTGGAGGCAGCACCATGTTGTGGGGACAGTTGAAGTGACAATGAAAGGTGGTTAAAGCCAAAGTATATTCATCTTTTAGTCAAAGTCAATAAAAAAACCCAACAGAAAATATCTTTCAAGACTAGAAAATCCCATTTCACTGCTGGTCTACCTGCAGACTAACTGAACTTAAGCTTATTTGCAAAGAGGAATGAAAAGAAATGACAAATTCTAAGTGTGCAAGGCTGGTAAAGACAGAACCCAAAGGGTCTGCAGCTGAAATGCAGTTCTAGGGGGAAAAAAAATCAAATAAAATTTGACTGAAATACAGATAATTTGTACATCCAATCCTGCAGAACTGAGTCCACCTCTGTGCGCCAGATATTTGTCAAAAAATGACACATTGCTTCTTAACAGGGATTTGTGGTCAGACTAGGTCATGCATCATATTTTTATCCATCGAGTGCATTAGAGGACATGGTGAGTCAATGTTTTTACGGAGCTGTAGGTTTTGCTCCTTTTTTCTCTTCTTTAGTACAAATGCTTATGGTCCAGTAAAGTGCAGAAACGTGTACAACAAAAGTGCTCAGCTGGCTCCCATGCCTCTATTCTGGATGGTCCCATCACTGTGACCCCAGGGGTGAAAGGAGCTTGTGAGCACATCCACAGGGTGTTCACATCTATTTGTCATCTGAAGATTGCTGCCATGAAATTTCTCTTCCCCATATGATCCAACGGTAGTATGTAGGGATGAGAGATAATAAATACAGGAGTAAAAGAATTTATATCTTAATAATAACTGACCATAGCTGGGGGTAAAACTGATTTGGTTAATCTAATCAAGAGTTTTATTTTCCATTTACACCAGAATTTTTGTTATCAGTTTGAGTTTAGCTAGGAAGAAACTGTTGCAGAAACAAGCAGTGTGTTTGAAAATCCTAACAGTGTGTTTGCTGACTCGCTGCAGAGCCCTCCTTTGAGTCTGGGTAGTGGTACTATACCAAACCGTGTTGCAGCTGAGAGGGATGCTCTCCACCAGCCCTTTGTACGCCATAGTGAGCAGTTTCTGCTAAAGCAATAACTCCCAGCTTTTTAACAAAAATTGACTATTGAATTAACTGGGATACCTATGGTAAGAGTGACTAGGTACAGTGGCCAACAGGTGCAAACTCTCAGCAAACAGACAGGTTGTAAAAACGTGTGTAATGCAAACTCGCAAAACACGCTAACACAAAAAAAAATGCAACAGAAACACAGTGCAAACAAAATATTCTGCAATTAATAAAAATAAAAGCAAACACCTGTAATCAACAAAAGAAATGCAAACATAAAACTGCAGGAAAATCATGCTGCAAGAAAAAAAAACAAAATGCTGCAATCAGAGAAATTATGCAAATAGTAAAAAGAGCTGCAAATTCACTATAAAATATATGGTATGTTTCTTGTTTGATTCCTTTATCGGACCAGACCGGACCCTTTGTACAAACAGAAGGTTAAGATTTAAGGCAGGAAAAGTGGAAAGAAAAAGAGGTTTGTTATCTGTTATTTCCTTTTCAAAGACTTAATCTTGCAATATTTCAGAATAATAGCATAGATGTCATGTTAGCTTTCAGGGATCTAACCTACATGCAGAACACTCAGAGACTGGGAAAAAGTTCACAAGTTTATTGAAGATGAATCACAATAAAGAACAATGATTTCTGGGGATAACTGGGTCCGGGTCTGGTCACGACTGGTTTTCACTGCAGAGAGGGACAGATTGGTTAGCAGTCTTTCAGTGGACTTGCAGGTTGAGTGTTGGCAGGTCTATACCTGATCAGAGATGAGCAGAGCGGTAGAAGGGGGGAACCAGGAAGGTCCAGAGGCTGAAGGCAGGCAGAGGGCTAGGCAGAGGCAGGGCAGAGCAGATAATCTTACTGAGCAGGTTCAGAGCTTCTCCCTCAGCTCTTGCTGAGAGCGGGCAGGCAGGTTTCAGACTGAGTTGGATTTCCAGGGTTCTTCTGAGAACAGACAACTTGGTTTCACGCTTGAGAAACCCTTCCAGGTCTTCAGGTTTCCAGGCAGGTTCTTCCTGAGAAGCAGAGAGGACAAAAAGCTGATTAGGTTCAGGTTCAGGCTGCAGGGGAGTCAGAGATTCAGACAGGCAGGTTGGCTCAGGTTCGCTAACCATAACTGGCAAACACTCTGGCGTCGGATTGTAGCTCTGCCCCTCCTTAAATGCTGGTCTCCTGATGAGCTCATGAGCTGCAGGTGTGATGGTCAGTTTCAGCCCCAGGAGACCTAGAACGCCCTCTGCTGGAGAAAGGTGGACAGACCTCCAGATTCCAACAATAGTTTGTATTGTAATATGATTAATAGTGTTGCGCTGATGCCATTTTTTGGCCCCGATACCTGGCTGTGCAGTATTTACACAGTATTTGCAGTATTTGCCGATACCATACCAATACCATCTGTTTGAAATTGATGTGTGTGTATATATGAAGAACTTCAAAGGCTACTTCTTGGATGTAAAATAATTGCCATCATGACTTTGTCAAGCTGCTGCCTACCTTTGTGAAGCAGGAAAAAGACAAATACAAAGTAAATCCAGAAGAACTTTTTATTGCCTACCTGGAATTGGTGACAATAGTTGAATAAACTTTTGGCTCTCAAAATGCAACCGGTGCCCTATTTGTTGGTACTCACCAATACCGATGCCATCATTTTAGTGCTGAATCGGGGCCCCGCCCGATACTGGTATCGGTATCGGTGCAACACTAATAATTAACGCTCTTGTCCGATATGGTTTGTTCTTTGTTTAACTCCCTGTAGTGGTCTGGAGCACCTTTGCTGTTTTTCATTGTTTTAGTTTATAGCTATTTACTATTTGCACCATTTTCTTTCTGTGATTGCAGCATTTTGTTTGTGGTTGCTGCATTTTTTTTTTTGCATTAAATTTATTTTTTGTAAGGTTTGCTTCTATTTTTGTTATTATAGCATACTTTGCCAACAGCAAAATATTTTTTTCTATAGCATTTGTTTTTTTGTGTGTTTTGGAGTTTGCATCATCATATCTGCAGCTCATTTCACCGTTTGCTGTAGGCCTATGTTTCCTCCTGTTCATTTCTTTTTTTGTCTGCAGCATTTTTCATTTGTTTTTTGTGTTTGAGTGTTTCGAAGTTTGCACGAAATATGTTTTTGTTTTGTCATTATCTGTGTGTTCGGGTCTGTCAGCCACTGTAGGTATAAAACATAAGGACAAAAAAATACATTTTCAATAAAGGTTGCTACGTTCAGTAACTCGACTTGAACTTTGTTATTTTCAAAAGTTACTTTTAATTTAATATGATATTCTTATCTATTAAGCATAACCTTTCATAATGGCCTCAAATCTGAGCTGCTTTTAAAAAATAAAATAAAAAATTGAATAACTCATATTTTCTAATTCTTTTTTTTTTTAAGATTATTTATAGGCTCTAGTGGCCTTTATTTTGTTATTCTTGAAAGTATGTAGACAGGAAAGGGGAGGTCAGCAGGCCTGGAACTACATTCAATACATTCAACAGCCGGTATATGGGTCATGCACTCTACCTCCACACCATAGCAGCACCCCGTATTTTCAAATTCTTGTTTAAGTGTGTTTTACAATCCTTAAATTGTCAACTAGTTTCAAATTACATATTTCTGGGTCAAAATGATTTACATAATTATTGTTCTCATCCTCTTCTGTCAGATGTTATGTTTTTTTGTATGACGTTATTAAAGTTAACATCTCTACAGCCAGGTTTGTTTGTTTTTTTGTTTTGTTTTTATACAGGTTAGCTGCAACTATTTGGCTTTTAAACAGCACATCTCTGATGGAGAAATGTAAAAAAATATATAAAAAAAAATGTATGTTTTTAAGTCTGATCAAAGTTCTCCAAAAAAGATACAAAGTTCATGGCCAACATGTGAAATAAGAAATATGACAGAAAACTGCGCTAGATGTCATTTTGAGGATACTGCAACCACATTAGATATTTTAAAGTATTTCTGACACAACTAGTGTTTTCCTTCAGCTAAGACATGGAAAATGGTGGAACTGATGGGAGAATGATGAATGGCTGTGAGACACTGATAGTGTTGCAGTGATGTATTTGTGTAGGAACATAGAGCATTCAAAGATCATGAATTTGTTTTACCAAAAACAAGTTTATCTTTAAGCAGCATTGGAAAAAAAAAAAGGGCTAAGCATGCTTTTGCACAATGTTTTTTTCTCATAACCTACGCCTACGTTTGATTAAATGCTGCATTTATCTGTTGAGAAGCAGTCGTAGCCGTTCTTCACATTATCCGTACAGTGTGTCTGAGCATAAATCTTATTCATCAGCACTCACAGCTATCATCCCATGGTTCATCAGCATAATTTTTTTACTTATTGATTTTCTTCTGTCCATTATCTACCAGGCCTGAACAACACAAAAAAAAGATAACTGTGGCATGTTTGGAGAAGGTAGTGTCATTGTGTATGAATTTATATAAGACATTTAAAGCTCTCAGCCGCAGCCTCATGCATCAAGCTATCTTCCGTTGTCACCTCCTCTCGCGTCCTTAGCTCTTTTCAAAGGGCAGCTGGGTTCCTTTTGAGCCATTATTTGAATTCAGAGATGCTTCCCAGTAAAGGTCTTATCACGTTTGTTTTGAAAGCATCTGTGCATTTTTTCTGAAAATGTACACAATGAAGCATTCTTTTAAAGAGTTGCCATAATTATAGACCTCATTCTGCTCTGATAAGACCTTGGTTATAATTCAGCACTCAAACATTTCTATATTACATTCACAAAACACTTATGAGATATCCTGTGTTCATACCTCCTTTATTTTGACAAAATTCCTGTGGAATTGTTTTAACAACTAATGCATATGCATCCAGACGTCGCTCTGAACTCGTGGACCTCTTTCAAATGCTGATTTGATTCAAACAATAATTTCCAAAAGGCCTTTGAATATTCGGGTCTATTTTAAAAAAGCACAGCCTGAGATGTACAGCGAGGGGCAGAATTGATTTGCCTGGTGTTGAGAGTAGCAAATAATATAAAAAAATGCAGATTTCTATTAGAAATCCCATCCCAGCATGAACAGTCAAACAAATGAATAAATCTGTTGAGGGAAAGTATTGGTGTGTAATAGTAGGAGCTCCTGAAAGACCTTGGCGTTAATAATAAACAACATCACAAAACGTCAGGGTTGGTGGATGTATTTGTGGACCCAAATGCAGAGTAGAGGAGGCAGAAATCACTTCTTGCAGATTTAATGAAGATGTTGATAGTACAGAAGCAAATAAACCAGAAACAACAAGGATGGAACTCAGCAATCAAAAAGACGCTCAGGGAAACTAACAGAAGGAGTAAAGTGATGAAGAATCCAGCAATGAGGAACTGCACAGAAGGTGTATTTATGGGCTAATCAGAAGGTTCAAAAAGGCCACTTGTGTCATGGTTTTATCTAAAGCTCGGACCCACATGCAGAGAAACCAATTCAGAGAGACCAGGGGAAAGGTTTAACAGGTTTTATTGAAGAGATAAAGCACGGTGCAGTGTTGCTCTAAACTCTGCTCAGCCAGAACTGGAAGGTGAGGGGAAGACACAGCGATTAGTTCAGGCTCAGTGGGAAATTTTGTGGATTTGGGGAAGAAGATCTGGTTGTTGACTCACGTATCCAAAGAAGTTGTAGAATCTTTGACTCCAATCTGTGTGCTGTATTCCAGTGTTAGTCTGATTCGGTGGAGGGTGGAACAGGGTTTACCCAGAACACGGTCGGTTGTTGGTGAACGGAGGAACTGACTGCCACGCAGATTTCCTGCGTTACTTGAACGGGTCGTAGTGGAGATGATTCCCTTGCCTAGTGTGCAAACTCAATGTCCTCTCAGGGAGACTGGATCCAAACCTCCAGTTTGAATCCCCAGCTCAGTTTGAGGCTCAGTTGATCCCTCCAGGGAGTGAAGGTCCGAAAGATCCAGTTTGCAGGATGACTTCCTGCCGAGAGGCAAAGACAAAAAACAAAGTTTTAACTCAGGTTGACAAGAACTCAGTCTTACTCAGAAAAACTCAGCTTGGCTAGAGTACCCAAAACTGGCAAACACTCTGGCATCGAGGTAGTGGCAATCAGCAGCTTGAGAGCACTCCGTTAACGAGGTAACCATCAGCAGGTGTGTGAGGAGGCTGACTAGAACCAGCCGCCTCCTGTTGGAGGAAGGGAGACAAACACAAAAAACAAACACACAGACTGGAGCCCTGACAACTTGACAGGATTGATTTGATATCAGACTTATTCTAGCTTATACAGATAATTTGGTTCATGCGAACATGACCTTAGCATACAAAGAGTACAGCACACACCTTGAACAACAGCTTCCCATACAGAATCACAGCTCTAATAAACCAAGCAAACATTGCATAACATTAATCATGACAGTATTCATTTGGCTTTTATTTTGGATAAAAAATGCAATCTAACTGAATTATCTTGAACTAAGAACTTGAATGATAACAGCAAAAGATAGGAAAGCAAGAACTACTCAGGTTATCATAAAAAGGTTGACCCATCTAGTCGAGTATAGAATAGAATACAATAAAATAAAATAGAACAGTATTTAATAAAATAGCTAACACACAAATTAAATATTAGTCTATATTTACTAAATAATGACAATGATAATAAGCTATTACTGAATCGAACTGAACTGATTTAAGGCGTTCTTAACATTACTTTATAATCCGGTAAAAACTACACCACAAAGTGGTGCAATTGGTTCATAACGGCGGCATTGTTTATTGCAGTAAACTTTTCCAATATGTAAATACCTACAGCCATGACAGTAAGGGATTGACTCCAAACAAGCCCTTTCGATTGTAGCTCTGCCCTAGTTCTCATACATGCTTCCTGGAGTCCTGTTTTACAGCTGAATTAGTTATTTGTTTCATGCCTTGAGGGATCACAGAGCCATGTGCTTTTAAAACACCGAGATGGTGTCACATATACCCAGAGGTCGGCAGTAACTAGTTTCATCAACTACATTTAATTGAGTTACAGTTTTAGCAAAGTAATTTTAGTAAGTAGTTTTTACCGCACCGTTCCTCCTACTTTTACTCGAGCAATGTTCTTGTGAAGTTTTACTACTCCTACTGCCCAATGTGTGTCATGATCTCAGTACTGATGTCTGGTCTGATCACTCATTCCACTCTTCTGCCCAGTTCTCATTACC